CCCAGCTGCCTCAGGCTGTGAGAAGGATGAGACAGAGGTGTCCTTGGGAAAAAAAAAGCCAAAAAAAGCGCGATTTTTAGTTTTTTTTCTATTTTCCAGCTGGTTTAGGCTATGAGAAAGAAGGACAGACAGAGGTGTTGTCCTTGGGAAAAAAAGCCCAAAAAAAGCAAAAAAAAAAAGCCAAAAAAGGCGATTTTTAGTTTTTCTTCTTTTTCCAGCTGCTTCAGGTTGTGAGAAGGAGGAAAAGACAGAGGTGTCCTTGGAAAAAAAAAAAATGCCCCAAAAAAGTGATATTTAGTGGTTTGGTTTTTTTTTTCAGCTGGTTCAGGCTGTGAGAAGGAGGAACAGACAGAGGTGTCATTTGAAAAAAAAGGCGACTTTTGGTTTTTTTTCCAGCTGATTCGGGTCATGAGAAGGAGGAACACACAGAGGTGTCTTTGGCAATTGTGCCGTTCTGGTTTCACTTTTTCTCACCAAAACGTCGCAGGAAATTTCAAATTTCTGCTGCTGGGCAGGTGACACGGAGCAGCTTCCGAGAGTGGGATTTTTTTACGAATCATGTGAATTTTCCTGTTAAAAATGACAAAAAAGGAGCTCTGATCTCAGCCCTCAAAGCGCCCTTTTAAGGTTAGAGTCGAGAGCCCACGTGATAAAAACCAGAGTCTATTTTAACTTGGAAAAAGCAGAAACGGGCTGAAAATGTCACTTTGAGAGAATATTCCTATTTCCTTCTGTTCCCTTTTATATTTTTAGCCTTCTAATATTCATAAACGTGGCCCAAAATCCCTTTGAGAGGGTTTTTTTTTTTAATTTTCTTCCCCTCTCGGATATGAGCGCTGATTTAAGAGCGATGAATTAATTCAGGTTGTGGGGTTTTGCTCCAGGAGCAATTGAAACACCAAAAAAAAATCCAGAATTTTTCATTTTTCTGCAAAGGCCCAGACTGGAGAGAAATTTTGGAATAGGGGGAGCGGAAAAAAAAGGATTTTTAAGGGATTTTCCAGTGTTTTGTTGTGTGAGGTTTGGGGGTTGGGAACAGAACTCACGTGATTTTTTTTGTTTAAACGGGTAAAAATCTGAGGGGTCTGGGTCACCCCGGGAGTGACCCCAGGCAGGAACTGTGACCCCATTTTGGGGTGGGAATCCTATTTTAGGGAACCCCATTTCAGGGAGGGATTCTCATTTTGGGAACCCATGTTGGGATGGGAACCCCATTTTGGGATCCCCATTTTTGGAACCCCATTTTGGGGAGGGAACTCCATTTTGGGGAGACAATTCCATTTTGGGAAGAAAATCCTATTTTAGGGAATTCCATTTTGGGATAGGAACCCCTTTTTGGGGAGGGAATCCCATTTTGGGAACCCCATTTTTGAACCCCATTTTGGGAACCCTGTTTTTGGGAGGAAATCACATTTTGGGATTCTCATTTTGGGGAGGAAATCCCATTCTAGGGAACCCCATTTTTGAACCCAATATTGGGGAAGGAACCCCATTCTGGGAATCCCACAATGGGGAGCAAGTCCCATTTTGGTATCCCCATTTTTGAACCCCGTGTTGGGGAGGAARTTTTATTTTAGGGAACCTCATTTTGGGGATGGAATCCCAAAATGGGATTCCTGCTCCAATAGGGGATTCTCTCCCCAAAACAGGGTTCCCAAAATGGGATTCYCTCCCAGAAATAGGATTCTCAAAATGGGATTCCCACCCAAAAATGGGATTTCTGCCCCCAAATGGGATTGTCTCCCCAAAAATGGGATTCTCAAAATGGAATTCCTGCCCCCAAATGGGGTTCTCTCCCCAAAACGGGGCTCCCCAAATGGGATTTGTCCGTCTCAGCAGGGTCCCCGCTGGTGGCTGTGCCTGTCCCCGCTGCCTGGTGGTGTCGCAGCAGAGCACAGATCCCTTCTGCCTTTCCCAAGGGTCAGATTTATCCTGTTGGGCCTTTTTCCCCTAAAAAATTTGCTTTTTGGTGCTCACATTCCCAGCTGAGGTCGAGGGAAAGATTTTTGTGGATAACGCTTGGGAACTGAAGCGAAATCGGAGCAAAATCAAAGCAAAATTGGAGTGAAATCTGAGTGAAATTGGAGCAAAATCAGAGTGAAAGCTGAGTGAAATCGGAGCAAAATGCAAGTGAAATGCAAGCGAAATCGGAGTGAAATCAGAGCAAAATGCAAGTGAAATTTGAGCAAAATCTGATGAAAATCCGAGCAAAATCGGAGCTAAACCCGAGTGGAATCCAAGCAAAATCTGAGAGAAATCTGACTGTAATTTGAGTGAAATTGGAGCAAAATTTGAGTGAAATCCGAGGGAAATCTGAGCAAAATCAGAGCTAAATCTGAGTGAAATTTGAAATCCGAATGAAATCTGAGTGAAATCCAAGTAAAATCCAAGTGAAATCTGAACGACATTTGAGTGAAATCCAAGCAAAATCAGAGCAAAATCTGATCAAAATCCGAGCAAAATCTGAGCTAAATCTGAGTGAAATCTAAAGTGTAATTTGAATGAAATAGGAGCAAAATGCAAGCAAAGTGTGAGCAAAATGTGAGTGAAATTGGAGTGAAAATTGAGCGAAATCCAAGCGAAATTGAAGCGAAATCTGAGCAAAATCCAAGTGAAATCTGAGTGAAATCCAAGCGAAATCTGAGCGAAATCCAAGTGAAATCCAAGTGAAATCCAAGCTCTTGTAGCCGGGTTGCCTGGGCCACAAATGCTCGTGGCGTGTGATGAATAAAACCTTGGGGAATAAATA